CGCTGAAGCAGCGCTCACAACTAAGCACCCCCAAGAGGTCCAGAGACGGAAAAGGTAACCAGCGTGCTACCCCACCAAAAAAATCTAAGACGCCTGACCAGGGAGGCACGTTTGCACCTCCACCGCAACCTCAGGAAGAACAGTGCCAGCTCAATAAGAAGCCGGTTAACAACGAGAAGAGTGCCTGGACCAAGATGAAAGGTCGCGTGCATAAGAGACTTAGCAAACTAGACGCCATTATTGCCAGGAGTGTAGGCGGCTGCCAATTCTTTGGTTTGCTGAAGGCAGTTAAGTCCGAACATCCGCAAAACGGTGTATGGCAGCATAGTCTTACAGCTAAGCAGGGCCCCAGCCTATGGCGAGGGTACATTGCAGGCGAAAGCCCTGAAGGAACAAACTAGACTGGAAATTTGTGACCTGGACGAGCTCACCACCAAAGAGGAGAATTGTGCAGGGATCGCAGCTAAAGTGGAAAACCTGAGCCTGGACTGCCTAACAATAAAGTCAATTCGCAAGTCACGCGGTGGTCAGAAAATTACAGTACTTTCACGGCCTGCCGATAAAGCCAAGTCACTCTTAGAACTCGGCAAGATCCGGATTGTATGGCTCATATGCCGGTTGCGAATCGTAGCTGACCCAATGCGATGCTTCAAATGCCTAGAATATGGGCACATGGCAGGGTGGTACATGAGTAGCGAGGACCGAAAAGGAAATTGCTTCAAATGTGGTGAGAAGGGCCATGTGGCAAGAATTTGTAAGAAGAAGCCTAAATGTTTGCTATGCTGTAGGAAAGGACTACAAAACCACGCCCACGGTACCGGCAGATTCAAATGCCCAGCGTTCAAGGAAGCCCAGAGCCAGGCGACATTCTAAGATTCATCCAGCTGAATTTCAACCACTGCAGTGCGGCACAAGACTTGCTTCGCAAATCAGTACAGGAGCTCTCGGTTGACTTGGCTATCCTGAGCGAGCCTTATAAAACTTATAATATAATCTGGCAAAGCGGAGCTATGGGTTTGTGGAGATCGAGGGATTCATCTGGAGGAGGTCATGACATGCGCGACATTTGTGCGAACAAGAGTTTGTGGCCGGTGGTTGTACAACATGGGCCGTTGACTGGGGCAGTATCTGCACGAACGCTCGGGGCCGTATCCTGCTGGAAACGTTCGCAAGATTGGATATTTCCTTATTAAACTCAAGCTCGCGACCCACATTTAGCAGAGCCGGCATGAGCTCCATAATTGACCTCACGTTCGCAAGCAGTCTACACGGCTAGTGACCATGATGCAATAATTTCCCCAATCGGGGAAAGGACGAGTAAAAAGGGACACGGATCACTCACGGACTACTCGTACCGCACCAACACGTTTAATCCTGCTGCCTTTTCGGAAGCACAGTTCGTTTTGAGCCTAACCGGGAATCCCCGGAGCATGGCACAAGGATTTGTGGCTCAAATTCAGGCTGCATGTGAACTAGCATGCTGAAAAAAAGTCTAAACCGCGACACCATGACCCAGTGTTTTGGTGGACTGATGAAATCGCGCAGCTGCGTGGGGCATGAAATCGCGCCAGATGAGCATCCCTAAGGCTGCGAGGCAGGCAGGCGTTTCTACTCCAGCAAACAGAATTCAGGAACTGCAGACTCGTTTTAGTAAACGGAACTGTTTCCTGGAGCTATGCGATTTGGCAGACCACGATCCGTGGGGAAAGGCGAATAAAACTGTGGTGAAAAGAATCAACGCAGGACGGTACGACGTTCCTACCTCCCCAGAAGCACAAGCTCGAATAGTCGGTTTACTATTCCCCTCTAGACCGGGCAACGATGTTATGTTTCAGGACAGTATCAGGCGACGCCGCCCTGGTCATGCCGGGTACAATGCCAATAAACCTGCTTGCAAACGAGGCGAGCACAATCCATTGGAACTCAAGAGCCGTTGGCACGAGCAAGACTGCAACGCCCTCTCTGCGTAAGGTATCACTCGCTAACATGAGGGAGTAAAGCCTAGTCCAATTTAAGACAAGAACCTTGGAATACCTCCTCCAAGGAGGTAAACAATTCTATAAGTTCGTTAACTCTAAGCGTAAATCTGCTTCCCTTCCTTCGTCATTTTTCCTTGGTGACAAAAAAGCCACCAACGATTCTGAAGCTGCTGACTTGTTTGCCAACTTCTTCCAATCAACATATTCCTCTGTCACTATTAGTAATACCTCTTATCCTTATAGCATTTCATCTTCGCACACTATTTACGCTCCCATAATTTCTGATAGCTGTCTACTCTCTGCTATCAAATCCTTAAAATCTTCATACTCTCCTTGAGCAGACAACATTCCTAGTTGTGTTCTCAAGGAGTGTTCTAGTTCCCTTTTACAACCATTACTTAAACTTTTTAATCTGTCACTTGGTTCCTCAATCTTTCCAACTATTTGGAGAGACTCTTTTATTATTCCACTTTATAAAAGAGGTGGTAAGTCTGATATTTCAAACTACAGAGGAATTGCAAAGTTGTCTGCCATACCAAAATTATTTGAAAAAATAGTTTGCAGCACTTTGCAGCACCTCTGTAAATCTGTCATATCTCCAGCTCAACATGGATTCATGAAGAGACGGTCTACTACGACCAATTTGCTGGAATTTACTTCTTTGGTAAATGAAGCATTTACTCTAAAAATGCAGACTGATGTCGTTTACACTGACTTCAGTAAAGCATTTGACTCTGTGAACCATAATCTTCTGCTCTTTAAGCTAAGCTCCGCTTTTTTGTGTTGGATTTCGTCTTATCTAAAAAATAGGACCCAACGGATCTTGCTTAGGTCGCACATTTCTAAGCCCGTGTTTGCATCATCTCTGTCCGCTTGCCATCGTACTCTAGCAGGCTGATGCTTATAAGCCTTCCTTCTTTAGTAAATCGTAGGACTGTTCTTGGAGTAGTTTTTCTCCACAAGTTGATTATCGGCGAGGTTGACTCGTCTTCCCTCTTAGGTCGCCTTAATTTTTCCGTTCCTTGTAGACCAACAAGGAATTATTTGCCATTCGTCTTGTCTAGGTGCACAACCGATTACGCTGCGCACAATCGTTTTCGCGTCATTTGTTCCAATTATAATGAGCTTTCTCATTTACTTTCAACAGAACTCTCTCTTTATTCTATAAAAGTTCTTCTTTATAGTTATCTCCGTGGAAATCTCTGACCACATACTGCTGTGAGCCGGGGCATAGCTGGCCGGACTGGCTTAAAGCTTTCTCCCACCGGGTTGGAGATTTCCCTCTTTCTCCTTTTGTCTTTCTTGTTCCATCTTTCTCTTTCCCTGTTTCTCTCTTCCCCTTTCTCTTCCTCTAGCTCCTAAGTAGAATTAATTTTCCTCTTCTACATACTATTTGTTTAGATGGTCAGGTCTATAATGTCTCTGACCACATATGGCTGTGAATCGGGGCATAGCTGGCCAACTGGCAAATAAAATTCCCCCAACGTGTCGGGGGCATTTATAGACGTTATTGTACAGCTTTTTTGTAGGCTTTCTTATCTTTTAAGTTGAGACTTTGTTATATTAATCATATTTGAATTTTTAATTTTAAATCTTAATATATATATTTATATATATATATATATATATGTGATTAAAAATGCGGGCTCCAAAGGAGGAAAAAAAGCTCTGTTTTTCACCGATGAAGTTCAACTTGTGTTTATGTGATTTATAAGAGAATACAAATAAAACTGCATAGTCGGTGTTGGAGGAGAATCGAGCATATTAGCATAAATATTTAGTTTTAATTTAAATTTCACATTCGCCCTTAAAAACAATGTAAATTTTCTGGCAACGTTATTAATTACTCATAAGACAACAAAAATTCACCCCTCTAATGAGAAAGCGGAGTGACTGCACATAATATATTCTCGCTCACTTACTTCCCTTGGAGACATTGAAGAAGACATATTGAATAAAGCAACAAAATTTAAATCGTGCATGCTACAGGCAATCTTTTAATGGATTGCCACAGCAGTGGCAAAATAGCACAAGGGATTCGGGAAGACACTTACGTCTGTTGGAATATCATTGCGAAACGCAATTTAATCCAGAGGCAGGTCTGGAAACACTCTGCTTTTGGAAATTGGTCTTGGAGCTTGAATTATTGGGGTTGTTATATTTCTTCACCTTTTTCCAAATGAAAAGTTCGGTATCCGTAATCAACATAACTATATCTACAAATTGGCATTCAACGATTTTCGAAATATAGAAATATGTTTTTGCTCTTTATTGTTCGTGGCACATCGCTGCACTGCATGGACACGAGTGCCGTGTTTCATATTCCAATTTTGTGCGTGTTCGTGTTGACTCAATAAAGCACAAAAAAACGCAAACGTGAAAATGCGATTGAAACCAAAAAAAAATAATAATTATAATATAATATAATAATAAATAATAATTTAAAGTTAGGAAATACTGTTGGCGCAATATTTTTGGATTGAGAAAATTAGTGATGAGCTATATCAAATGGATAAGACCGAACGACACACGTAAGGCCACGACGAAAGTAAAGAAAAGAGAGAACGACGACTGCGTTTTATAGTTAAGAACACATACGTTTATTCAGGTGAAAAGCTTGCGAAGGACTGACTGTGTCAAATAGAATATGCGAACACATCGCGATCTTGTTACATTGGGAATGGAACAATAATTTTGAATTAACGGCTAGAAGCATTTAACTTGCATATTTCAACAAATACTCTAATATTTATTCCAGTTTTTTGCACAAAGTCTATCTTAAAACATTGTGTTATGTACATACATGTATTTTATTGTTGAAAAAAGCAAGGATGGAAATCGCTTATCCAAAAAAAACTATGTTAATGTTAGCAACGTTTGCATAAAATAAATTAATATTTTATGAAAAAGTAATATTATGTACATATATCGGTCCTTAAAATTGGACTACCATATACACATGTATACAATCATAAATTTAATATCGGCATTCTCCTAAATATTCGATTTACAATCACTTACCATTCACCGTGCATACAACCACCGTGATCACGCTGTGAAGGGCCGAAAAATGCCGACACATGCCCATCTCTAGAATCTCAGCTGGTCACATATTTACTAGAGATTTACCGTTTGTGTTAAACGATTGCGTCAGCTAACAACGCTACGAATGTATTCTGTAGAGTTCTGGAAGAAATTATGTGCTAAGCCTATTCCGTGAATGTATTCTTGCGAATTACAAAAGCAGAAACATGCCTTTTACACTCACCACATTCATAATCAAAAAACACATATGGATAAATGTTGAACTGTACAATTGAATATGTGTACAATTGAATGTGTGTATATTTTTTTTTTTTGATTTTTTATTTCATTTATTTATATAGGAAGTAAAAGGTACAGAATGAGAATAGAAGTAAAAAGAAGGTGAAAGAAAAATGAAAATGATGAAAAAAGATGAAAACTAATCAGCATCCGTTCTCGCTGGCGTTCGCCCTCCAGTCTCCCTAGCTCTCCCATGACTGTGGACGCGAAGTCGCAGCAGGCGTTTCAAACCCGTTCGTCCGCCAACATGCCTGACCCATGCCTGGATATCTGGGATCAATTGTTGCGTCCAGCGGCCCTTTTTTATTTATTTATTTATTTATTTAAATCAACAAGTGGTTCTGTCGATTTATTCAATAACAATATATAAGTATTAACATATTATATATATATATATATATATATATATATATAGTCTGGGATCAATTGTTGCGTCCAGCGGCCCTTTTTTATTTATTTATTTATTTATTTAAATCAACAAGTGGTTCTGTCGATTTATTCAATAACAATATATAAGTATTAACATATTATATATATATATATATATATATATATATATATATATATATATATATATATATATATATAGTCTGGGATCAATTGTTGCGTCCAGCGGCCCTTTTTTATTTATTTATTTATTTATTTAAATCAACAAGTGGTTCTGTCGATTTATTCAATAACAATATATAAGTATTAACATATTATATATATATATATATATATATATATATATATATATATATACTATATATATATATATATATATATATATATATATATATCTATATATATATATATATATATATATATATATATATATATTTTATTCAATAACAATATATAAGTATTAACATATTATATATATATATATATATATATATATATATATATATATATATATATATATATATCATCATCGGATGAAGATTCATCATTCACTTTCCTTATATCCATTCCAGGTCCAGCGGCGTTCAACAAGCGAATAACCAAAGCGAGCAGCCAACTAATTGTCGCGACAAAATGTTTAAATTATATTAAAAAATTGTATTTAGACCAAAACAAAACTTTCCCGAAGTCCCTGCTCGGGCGCCATGTAAGTTTTATAAACGAAACGAAAAAAATACAACTATCAATTTACGTAAAATAGCTGCAAACAAATGGAACTGCGGAAAAGTAGACAAAAGTAGTTGGCAGTTGCGCTTGGTAAACCGCTGTGTTCGGTGGTCACAAGAGAAGAGAAACAATGTTTATTTTCGGCAACATAAAGGCGCGATTGCTTAGGTTGACAGCTGGATTAATACCGTTTTACATTAAACCACTCATTTGTACAGTGGCGCATGATATGATAACATTGACTTCTATTACAAACTTAAGCTTAAATGAACAATTCAATTTTACTTCTATTAATTTAAATGAATAACAATTCAATCTTACATCTACTATCTTAAATGACTAACAATTCAATTTCAACCACTCCATACATGACAACTTAAATATAAAAATACAAAATACAATAATGTAAATCAACAGGAGGTGCAAAAGATCTATAAAAGCAACTTTGACAAGAAGCGCAAAGGTCATCATGGCTATCAGCTACACGACCTGGTGGCGATTAAGGTCACCCAATTCGTTACTGGGAAGAAGTTGGCAAACAAATATATCGGCCCATACGAAGTCGTCAAGGTGAAACGTAGCAAAAGGTATGAAGCCAAAAAAGTTTCTGATTTTCAGGGGCCTCAGCTGACAACAATCAGCGCCAACTTTATGAAGTTGTGGCGCTACCAAAAGCAAACACATGACGACGAAGCCGATACAGATTCATCTGAGACAGATGAAGAGCAGGATGGCCGAGTTTAATGTAGCAACCAGGCACCTATAGCAACAAGATGGCATCCCTATACAGCAGGAGGAGAGAGTTAGTAGAAGCAAGTCGTCAGCAGAAGTCATCAGCAGCAATTCGTTTAATAAAGTCGTCGGCAGTCGTGTCGTAACGAAGGGCAGCAGACAGCCGTCAGTCGTTTCAGCCGTGAACCGATCCAGCGATTACCCGTCGCCTAACTTAAATAACCGTTGTTAACATACACAATTGTATTAGTCGCGTTGAACTTTTACTATTCTCTAAACTGCTCTATACATTATATTCATTATATTCTTGATCGTGATTTGCATTTACCAATAAACGGTAGTTCAATCCATCTTACATACATATGTATATTATTATTTCTAATTGATCTCAATAAATAATAAGATATTATTATTTAGATATTCTGCTTATTACATTCAAACTTCGATGTATCGATATCGATAGTATTGGTGTATTCAGCTATCGACAGTTTTATTCTTGGAAACTGAGATGGGAATTGTCAGTGCATTTTGATCGTGGCTCATTGCTGCACAGCATTGACACGAGTGCCGTGTTTCATATTCCGAGTTCGTGCGTGATCGTATTGACTCAATAAGGCACAAAAAGACACAAATGTGAATTTAAAATTAGAATATACTCTTATTCCCCCTTTTTTGCACATAGTCTATCTTAAAACGTTGGTTATCTCTATATATATACATATATCAAACAGTTTGTCCTGACTGACTAATTGATTGGTGATCAACGCACAGCCCAAACGGAACAAGAAAAGAATGCTAAAGTCGAGCAAGCTCAACTCTTAAATATCCTGTACCTCCCACCAAAAACGAAAAAAACATTTACATCAGAATCGTGTCTCTGCGTGTTTATATGCGTGTATGTATGCAGCACAATGTTGAACCAAAGCAGCAACAACAACAACAGCTGCGGGCAGCGCTGCCGGCAGCGGTACAAGAAGAGCATGTGCAGCGATTTTATTTATGGCTATAACTTTCTTCAGAATTAACCTATCATAATGATACATGCATACATACACATAATCACGAACGGAATGTAGTTACCAAATTTTAGTTCGAAATTCCAAGAACTACGGGAGTTATGAAAAAAAACACGAATTGCGGGGGAGTGGGGGGTCTAGCCCTTGTACCTTCTGAGATCTTTGCGCTCATACAGACGGACGGACGGACGGACAGGCGGACATGGCTATATCGACTCGGTTTCTCACCCTGATCAAGAAATATATACTTTATGGGGTCTGCCACGCCTCCTTCTTTGTGCTATATACATTCGCACAAAACTAGTATAGCCTTTCATCCTTTGGGTACAGGCTATAAAAAGCTAGAAAGCTGAAATTTGGACTCAAGTATCCTTTCATAGTATCCATCACAGTGTAGGTGCGCACTAAGAAAGGCTTTTGGAAAATTCGAGCTGCAAGGGGGGGAAACGAGCTTAAAACAACAAAAAGGCTAAAGTCGGGTGTTCCGACTTTGAAATACTCCGTACATATATTTAGAATAATTATACAAATTAAAACAAAAGAGAATGCTACAGTCGAGCAAGCCCGACAGTAAAATAGCCTGTACTCTCCACAAAAAAGGATAATTAAAAAAAAATAATTTAAAAAAAATGGAATTAATTAATAAAATTAATAAAGAAAATTTATTTAATACATACATAGAAGACCTTTTTATGTATAGTTTTAACAGCATACATTTACATCACGTGCCTATGCGTGTTTATATGCGTGTATGTATGCAGCACAAAGCTGAACCAAAGGAGCAACAACAGCTGCGAGCAGAGCTGCAGGCAGCGCATGACCAGCGATTTTTTTTATGGCTATAACTTTCTTCAAAATTGACCTATCATGATGAAACGCATACGTACACATTAGCACTAACTGGATGTAACTACCAAAATTGATCTACCTATTCAAAATTACAAGAATTACGGAAGTTATAAAAAACACAACACACAAACACAAATAGCGGGGGAGTGGGGGGGTGTATCAGAATAAAAACAAGTATAAAAGCTAAAGTCGGGTGTCCCGACTTTGAAATACTCTGTACATAATTATAGAAATTAAAACAAGAAAGGAATGCTAAAGTCGAGCGAGAAAAGTAATTTCATTAATTAATTAATTTAATTTAATTAATTAACTAAATTAATTTAATTAATTAACTAAATATTAACTAATTAAATATAAAATATTCCATGCATGCATACATACACTTACATTTACATCAGAATCGTGCCTTATGCGTGTTTGTGTACTTGTACATATGTATGTATGTGTGCATTGGGCCTGGTTATATGGCTATAACTTTCTTTCCGATCATTCTATCATAATGAAACTTGGTATACGGATATATTACTAACCTAATGTGACTACCAAATTTTAGTTCAAAATTCCAAGAATTACGGGAGTTATAGAAAATCGTTAATAGGGGGGGAGTGGATCAGAAAAAATGAACAAACTCGTCCTTTCTCGGGCTCAGGAGAATCTGTATACCAAGTTTGGTATAGCTCTTATACTTTCGGAGATCCTTGCGTTCATACAGACAGACGGACAGACGGTCAGACGGACATGGCTATATCGACTTGGCTTGTCATGCTGATCAAGAATATATATACTTTGTGGGGTCTACCAAGCCTCCTTCTGTGTGTTCCATGTGCACTCGCAGAAAACTAATATACCCTTGTACCCTTTGGGTACAGGGTATACAAATTAAGAGAATTAAAAAAAAAAAATTTGATCGATTTTACCTCTTTTATTATTTGAACTCACGTAAAAATAAAACAAACTCGTATAGAATACGTCTTTGTGCAAAATTTGGTGTCTCTATCTCTTATAGTCTCTGAGA